CATGGCTGGGGGCGGCTTTCCAAGCTGGGGATTTCCTATCCTGTCCCTGTCTCGCTTGCTGGTTGCAATCCAACTGTGTGTGCTGACGGGAAGTCAGGCGAGGAGAACAGGACGGTCCTTTCCGGCCTTTGGGTTTTGGCCCCTCCAAGGAGAGGGTGGGACAGGGAGAGCCAGGCTGGGCTGGGGTGCGATGGGGGAGAAGCACCTGCGCTTCCCCTCGGAGGGGCAGGGGGGGCTTGGCCAAGGGCTTTGATTGGGGTGCTCATTGTGCCAGAGCTGGGGCTGCTGTTTGGTGGAGCCTGAGCTGGGCAAAGGGGGGGGGTGATGGGGGCGATGCCCACCCTGTGAGGATGGGGAGGGGCGCTGCTGAATGTGTTAGGCTTAGGTCAGCAGTTGGTTTGCTCCCACCTCTGTGGGCAGCAGCTCTTTGAAGAGCTGGGCACTGCCGGCTTTCCTGGCCAAGGTCACTTCTCCATGCTGGGGCCGTGAGTGACCCTGGGATGAGGTCAGGGGTGGCCGGAGCAGCAGGACTTGCACCCTGCTCCGGTGCCCTGCAGTCCTGCTTGCTACAAGGCACTAATACCTGCTCCAGGCTCTTGGTCTGGGTGATGCAGCTCTCCTCCTCGGGCCAAAATAGCTGCTGGATGGGGGAATGATGGGGCACCCCAGTTCCTGCAGTGCTCAGTCCCCCAGCACCGTGTCCCTACATGGAGCAGCTCTAGCCTGACCCTAATCCTGCAGATTGCTGGCACTGGATCCACGTGGGGTGCACAGCTCCTGAGTGTAGGGGCTGTTTGGGAGAGATTTCAGTGCCGTGGCTGCGGGTGCCTAGTTAGAGACTTGCCCTCAGCCAGGTTTGGAGGGGACCAGGCTCTGAGCTGGGTGTCAGTGGGAGAAGCCGGGTTTGAGCTTGCCAGTCTTTTGTGTACCTTCCCTGAAGGCATTCAGTGAAGGAGGAGAAAAGGTGGGTCCCTTCCCCCTGCAGACCCCTGGCCCTAGCCTGCTTCTTTGAGAACTGGTGCTGATGCTCCAGGCTGCTCCCAGGGAGCAGCATTTTCTTGAGCAGCATTTGTTTATGAAAAGGCTGCAGTTTCCCTTGATTTTTTTTTTTTTTGAGGATGTGTTGTGCAGTGCAGCCCAGAGCAAGGAGCAACTCTGAGGGGGGAATCTGGCACCTGGGGTGGGCAGAGGGGGACCAATGCAGCAGGCAGGGTGGGCATGACCCTGCCAGCCTCCTCAGTGCTGCCCCAGTTTTGTTTTGCAATAGGAGTGACCCCCCCCAGAGAGTTGCTGAGGGTGGGGAGGTCAACGTGCACCCCCGGCAGAGACCCGGTGTCCAGGACCTTGTGCTCCAGGAGCCACGGTAATGCCATGAATAATTGAGCATGTATTTAAAATCAGGCTGCAGAGCAGGTCGGCTGGGCTGGGTGCCAGCCTCCGGCC